GTGGCCAGGGATGAGAAGAACAGGGCGCGCACAACCAGACAGAGGTCCAGCTTGTCCAGCCGTCATGTCATAAGGCCAGTCTTTACGTGGCATGTCATGGGAGCCTCGTTTGTTGTTTCTGTCGTTAGTGTTCCTGTAACGTTCGATTGTGTTCTGGCGTTGGCTTCGGGGCCCGAATCGTGTTTCGTTGGTGTTCCGATCGTGTCCCCATAGTTGTCCGATAGCGAGTGTTTCGAATACCGAATCGCCTTCTGATTGGTGTGGTTATAGTGTTCCAGTTGTTCTCCGAAGCGACTGCGGCGCGCTACGGGCGGCGCCGAGAGCGCTATAGTACATCGTCGGGACCAATGGAGGGGCAAAAATTACACAAGCTCCCACGAGATGCCACTCAGCTTGTTTTTGTTTCGCGGTTGATGGTCGTGCCTCTTTGGCAGTGCTTGCTTTAGGCAATTGCCGTGCCTTACCTACAGTGGTAGGCAGGGGTGGCGGGTCAAATTCCTATTGCTATGAACAGTGTTTGCGTTATGGGGGTTCTTGTTGGTTTTGTAGCAGTTGGGCCTTTTCGGATTCGCATATGTTTTCCGTGCATGGCGTTTCGGTTTCTTGGATTTCCATATTTGTTATCCGCTTATGTTCTAATAGTGTTTACATTGGGGTATGTTTACACGTGTTGTAATAGATGTTTCTTGCGGTTCTTTCCACTCCCCTGTTCTCTTCCCCGCACCTCCCCCTCCCCTCCGCTCCCCTCCCCTCCCCCATCCCCCCTCCGTACTTTGCCCCTCAGTAGCCGTTTTGGCTCAAGGTATGTCGTGCCATTGCGTAGGCCGATCTGATAGCGCACATTACCTTGGCGCGTGACGAGCGCTGCATCGCCGTCATGCGACTTCATGTGGAACGTTTCCTTTGTTGTTTGCTTTCTGCGAGCACCATCCTTCAGGTGATCGCCCTCCAGCGTGACGCGCTCCAGCCCAGCCGCGATGCCGACGGTGCGCCCGGTGACGCGCTCCTCCTCGGTGCTGACGATCACGGCTTTCTCGGCAGCCCGCGCCCGACCGGGTGCTACGTGCACCTGCCGGCCAGTTGCCCGAAGAGCCCGGCGAAGACGAGCACATGTCGGAGGGCACCAACTATACACCAACACCGATCTTGGCCCAGGATCACCCTGGGCCCAGGATCGGTGTATATGCCTTCTTGCGCAAGGCACGAGGGCGTATACACCGATCCTGGGCCCAGGGTGATCCTGGCCAGGATCGGTGTTGGTGTATAGTTGGTGCCTTCCTAACATGGTGGAGGGACGTCTGGGCCGTGCAGCACGGACTCGACGAGCCGGGCTGCCGCGGCCGGAGGGAGTTCTGGGACCGGTACTGCGAGTCCGAGGGCTCGGCCATGGAGTACGTCGGGCAGGACGGGGCCGTCCGGCGGCGCGCCCAGGGTGGGAAGTGGGAAGGGAGACGCTGCGGACCTCCTCAACCTCCTCCTCCTCCTCCTCCTCCTCCTCCTCCTCCTCCTCGGCCGTCCGAGAACCTTTTTCAGCGTTCTCCGAAGCCACAGAGGGCTGACGGAGGGCCTCTCAGAAGGCCGGAGGACTTCCGACACGCCTGTCCTCCCTTCCTGAGAAGCGCGAGCTGCGAACATGTCCGCATCCGCCCTCTCGCGGTCTGGACTCCGGGGCGCGATCCCGCGGATGCGCGGTCGCTCGGATGCGATCCCTGCGGGGACGCCACAGAAACGCGCCCCGTAGCCGCGGGGTCGCGGCCCAGGGGCCCCGACCGCGCAGCCGCGGATACGGATTCGATGCTTCTCGCCCACGAGAGATTGCCGACCCCTGCTCACTCCCCGCTTCGGCGCGCCGCCGAGCCATTGGGCAGCCGAGGCTGCAATCCGACACGGGCACTGATTCGGGGTATCCTTCTCAGCCAGGGTGCTACGTGCGCATGCCTTCCACGTGCCACGAGCCGATGAAGGCGAACCTGTGGAGGCACGATACCTGGGCCGAGAAGCGCGGGCTTGATAGGACGGACTGCAAAGGCCGCAAGGAATTCTGGGATAGGTATTGCGAAGCCGACGACTCGATGATGGAGTACATCGAGGGTCCAGGCTGGGGCAATGGTCCTCAGGAGTCCCCATCACAGCCGAACCCCAAGGCCGACGCTGACATTTCAGAGCCTCGAGCCAAGACCAGCTCTGATATTATTTCTGGATACCCCTCTCAACCGGGATGCTACATGCGCATGCCCTCCAAATGCCCAGCTAACCCAATGAAAACTAGCATGTGGAGGCACGATACATGGGCCGAACAACATCAGCTTGATGGGCCGATGTGCGAGGACCGCAAGGGCTACTGGGACAGCTATTGCGCGGCCGATGACACGAAGATAGTGTATATCAGCCAGTGAGTGCCATCAAATCCGATGCACCTATAAAGGTTCCCCAATACGAAGACGCCTCCGGCGAGTCACCGCTGCCCCGCGTGGCCGAAACAGTCAAAATCAAGGTTGGAGGGGTGCGACCAAAGTGAAACGTGAGGTGCCCCAACCAGGGAACCGCTTCGTTTCGTGCGAGACGCGCGTGCGGGTGGGGCGAGGCGGACTTGCGCGAGTTCCTGTACTGGTGGGGGCCAGGTCAGGCCAGAATGCGTCGCCTACTGGACGGGACCGTGGGCCCCGTGTGCTCCCGGGTTGTCCCGTTGGTCATCCCGATGCTTTTCCCGATAGTCGTCCTGATGATTGTCCTGACGGTTGTCCCGATGTTTGTCCCGATGGGTGTCCCGATGGCTATCCTGATGGTTGTTGTGATGGTCTACCAGATGGTGGTCCCGATAGATGGATGGGTGTCCCAATGGATGATGGTCCCGATAGATGGTTGTCCTGAGGGTTTTTTCCGATGGATGACCCGATGGTTGTCCAGATGGTTGTCCCGTTGGTTGTTTCGGTGGTTGTCCCCATGGCTGTCCCGATAGATGGTCGTCCCGATGGATGTTCTGATAGATGGTTGGCCCGATATATGTATTGCGAAATCGGCAGGTCGGTCGATAGGTAGATCGGTCGACAGAGAATGGGACCAGTAAGCAGGGAGACATCTTACCACAAATGGTACAGTGGCAGTTTGGTGCATGGAGACGTTGCGAGGCCGATAGATAATGCGTGCCCGATAGAGGTTGACAGCGACGCGCGCACACACACACACACACACACGCACACGCACCTAGATGTATATATAGACGAACATGGGGGTCCTACATATTGCGGGGGACTGGGCCTGGGGGGGCCCAGTGCCGCGAGCACGTGCAAGTGGGAGATCTGGAAGCCAGCCAAAGAATCTGGCTTCCATTGGAACAACGAAAGCATAACCCCAGTAACAAATCTCGTTAACGTTCATCGAACCTCACAACCTCACACAACGTGCATACACTTGCAATTACGATGAAATCCAGCTCAGGCAGCAAGCGCATACAACACGACGGACGCACCGCAAGCACACATCCATGACACGCATTCGTAACAGACACCAGGAGCTCCTAGCAATACCAATGTCATCACGATGGGCATGGCACACACCAGCGCTGGCATCACGAGGGGATCTGTCGGTCTCATGGAAGCACGTACACGTACTGCATGTTAGTCATGCGTACAGGTAACCCGGACGCACATGGATTTGTTATAGCGAGTTGGCTTACGTAGTTGTCAAGTTTGCACGTCTTCCATTTGCAAGTGCAGTTTGGATGTGAGTTGGGCACATATTGCAGTTATGTTGTCCGAACCCGAACCGTTCCATTCACTTGACAGATCTGGCGGGCACTTGGGATTCATCGTTGGCATTATTATAGCTACTTGGTGCCTCTAATGGCAGTCTTCAGGCCACCTTGAACGAAGTTCCTAGGAGCAGAACGCGCGGTATTATTAAACCGCGTTATGCTGTATGGTTGTCCATTTGGATGTTCTGGGGAGCTGAGGGGCCTTGAGATGCTTATAGAGGCATCTGGTAATCTGCTGTGGCCCTGGGAAGCGTTGTGTAGCCACAGGTTCAGGGAATATTGTCTTCATGACGCACATGTGACGTCTCGGGGTCTTGGTGGGCGGAGTGGAGATCGCGCGCGTTTACTAACTTGTTCTCCCGATTTGAAAGCATCCAGCATTTATTTATCGGGTATGCACATCGTATGCCTCCACGGCTACCGGCTTGCAGGCAGTATGTATACAGCATGCCGTCACACTGACACATTTCCCTAGACGCGTGCACATGGCATTTGGTAACAAACCTTGCCCCTTACGTTCTCCCTTGCTGGTTACCCCGCACGGGGGCTAGCGGACTTACGTGGCCGACCTGTTCGAGTTCTGCAGATCCCACAGCCTACGCAGGTGCTTTCGGTATGTTGTTTCACTGTTCCTTTCGGGACGTGCACGTGTAGGAATCAGTCAGGTCTCGGAGCCTCGATTTGAATGACCACCCCTCCCCCTCTGCTCTCCTCTTCTCTTCCTCTCTCTCCTTCGCCCTGTCTGGTACACCACTCCAAGCACTCTGACTCAATGACGACCACTGCGATTTGTTACATATTCGGAGCTGTTTGCTGCCATACCCAATGATGATGAGGAGGAGCGTAAGCGGTGATCAAAGAGTACAGGCGCATGCGCCAGTGATGCGTCCAGTTCAGTCGCGCACGTGTCCTCGATGCCCTTGATGTCTTGGAGTTGCTGGTAGACGAGTTGCAACATCTCACTCGGTGGCCGCAGCAGATGGCTGCGGCCTGTGCGCGCAGGGGATCTACCGGAGCGCCCTGCAATCTCCGACATCACAGCCGCCGCCCTCGCAGAGTGGGGTCGCCGAGAGTGACTGCGGCGAGCTTGAGCAGGGCTCTCCTTGATGGGCCGATGTTCCACCACCAGATCCACAGGTAGGAAAGGGAGGAGGAGTAGGACAAGGAGGCGGAGGAGAGGGAGGAGTAGGAGAAGGAGGAGATGGAGGAGGACCTCCCCATCCCCCCCTTCTCCCCCGTCTTGCCT